TCCCAATTCCATATTGCAGGGCAGATGGAACTTCCTTCGTATGATCCTTTCACATTCCTTTGGATTATTTTGCCCTTCAGTTTATTTTTTAAATAAAAATTAAAGCTTGTAAAACAAGAATCTAAAACCTTTATCACAAAAATAGACAGCACAACATCAGGTTCCTTTGCATAATTTAGTTTTGAGTTTGTGTGCCAAGATCTTTTCAGCACAGTGCATAGGACAGAGCTCCCCTTCCATTTTCCCTGTTGCCTTCCTTTCAGTTAAATCCTGGTCCCATTTTCAAGCCTATACAGCATTCAGCAAAACTAGAAACCTCCCATCTTTTCCCCAGCAATAGAAATCAAAGCAGAGTATGAGTGGAAAGGCTCTCTTACATACAAAATGTGCAGAATTAATTGGGAAGAAGCCAGATTGCTTTCTAGTGTCTTTTTGAAGTTAGAAGAACAATATTGACATTTTCAGAGGCCAAAGTTTTATTTAGATTAATTAGCGCAAATGTGGTACTAATTTCTACAACCATTCATGATCATACTTCAGAGCCTTTGATGCTAACGAAGGACAGACAGGGCCTGATTAGCGAAATGATGGCTAGAATATTTATGATTTTTCTTTCCCATTCAGGCTAGGCAGCAGTGTCCATTCTGGGATGCCTTCAGAGAAAATTATTTTAAGAATCCCTTTATCTGGTCCATTTGCATGAAACTCAGATTTGAAAGACTAAAGGCACCAAACTCAGAGGACTACAGTCACCCAAAGGAAGGGAGGAGGAATGTAGTAATTAGGCCTGCCCTGGTGCTCCTCCTGCAAAATGCTGGCTTGGTAGGGGAGGATCTGCAGACACTGCTGAATCTCCTTCTATCCCAGTGGTTCCTTGTTCCCCCAGTCCCTGTCCCCTGGAACACCCTTCCCAGCACCAGCTCTGAGATTAGTTTTTAGTTTTTAGATTAGTTTTGACTTTGGAGCTACAGCTGGTGCAGAAAGAGGGGTGCCAGCTGCAAAGGTGGCAGAGGGCACTCTGGATTTGGAGCCCAGCTCCATCCTCAAGGTCAGACACTTCTGTGCTTCTCCAGGGCTGGGATTCCCATTTAGTAGGCATAGGATTGTGCTCTAAGTGACCTTTCCATAAGCAAAGCATTTGGGTGGACAGTACTTTACAATGGGACATAAAGGTTGGACAGAGGGTCACCCTATCTTGGCTAGTTGCACACATAGAAGCACTGTGCCACGGAGAAGCAGTTGCAATGGAAGGAGTGAGTCATTATAGGGCAGCTGTGAAGAAGCTATTTCAGCCCAGGGCCAAATTCCATTTCAGAGATGTTCTCAGGAGCTGCATTCCAGCGGTGGCCAGGGCCAAAAGCAAGACAGGGATTGCCCCAAATACCCCAAGCCAGCAAGCCATCCTATTTCAGCTTAAGTCACTTACTCCCAATGCTATGAAACAGGAGAGGCATTTCAAGCTTTTGAGAATGGGGGGAAACTCCACAAAAGGTGGGAAATGACCAGCAGTCGGGGGAAGGAACAGAAAGAGGGGAAGAGGAAGCCTTTGGATAAACACAGGATTGGGACCCACAGAGACAAGTCTGGCCTCTGGGTCTGGAGGCCCTGCTCCTGTGTTCGAGGAGACAACAGCACTGAAGCTAGCTGAATAGCCTAAATTATGATAATGAAATAATTAACGTCAATGTGGATATTACAGGCACCTAACTGATCAGTCTTGAGCTCCTATGGATTTTAACCTTTCCTGCATGCACATAGCAGACTTGCATCTGTGATCATCATCTCATACATGCCCCTGCTGAGTAAAGCTTTGCACCAGAGGGAATCTTTACATCATGGCCTTTTGTCTTCTGCTGAGTGGCTTTGAAGAACAGCCAAACTCCGAGGCCACGCTGCATACAAGTGCCAGTGCAACTGTGCCTGTCTGCACTTAATGGAGTTTGTGTATTCTTTGGTAACACTATTCTCTTCAGAGTGGTCAAGGAATAATTAACCAGGAAGATGAGAAATGCTCTTGGGAGAGTAGCTAAAGCCTGGCACTTAAGAGTATGAAGCGAGTGGTGATGCTTTGCAAGGGGTTGCCAGGCAGTGCATCTCTGTACAATTAACTTAGATGAATATGTTGCTAAAAAGGAATATCCGAACAGCATTATGGAGCAATTACCAGTTACTTCCATTGTGCTGGCTCTGTGTACCCCAAGGGTTATGAGAAAGCAGTTTCGGCCAGAAGCCAATGGAAAGACAGTATTTGGTTGGTGAAGACTTTCCATTGTTCCTACTTTAACTGAATATTTACAGCATGAAAGAACTGCAGAACTGGCTATGGAATTCCACAACAGAATGAGGGACTCGCTTAGGTACAAGAGCTGTTCCAAAAACTGATTGTTAAAGGCCAGCATTTTGTGTCCAGTGACTGGTGCTACCCGAAGCAGGAAGGAAGTTCTTCTCTTCTATCAGTAAGATAGAGGGGAAGGGAGAGAGAATGAATTTTTGGAGATGGAACCACACTGAGGCAGACAGATCTGTCCCGGGATGGGAAGGAGTAAGCATGCATGGAAACACTTAAAGCCATAATCTGGAGAGCAATCTTGATCAGATTTTTACATGCACCAAAGCAAAGCAGGATGTGAGATCAAGATACTTTTTCTTACATCCTGTCATTCAGAAAGCATGCTTCCTTCCACTTTGCAGGAATGGCATCCTCCCTCGGCTGGCTACTGGTGGTAGTTGGATAGTCCTACTGCTCTTGCTTTACTAAGTAGCAGGGCCAAGTCTACTGTTGTGCAAAGTGGGGCAGTTTCTTGTGGGTGTTAGGGAAAGGCTGCAGTTTCGTTACTTAAATCGGAGCATCGCTCACTACTGCACATGAGCAGGCTGGCTTAAGTAGAGGGCACATGCACCTCAATTCCCCAGCAGAGGAAAATGGCCAAGGGATAGGGTGGCCACTTGCTTTGTTCAGTGGACAGTCCTCTGTTTGAAGGCACCCTCTGTGTGAAAGGCTGCCCAGTCCAGCTCCAAATTAAGGACAAAGAACCAGAAGAAAGGGGAGAAGGGAACTTGGACACCACCCACCAACATTTGGCTCCTGGACAATCAACACAGTCTCATCTGGGCACCCACAGCCTTCCCTGCTAGAGTAAGATGCATTGCATGTCTATTTCAATTGTAGTAATTATTTATCAATTTTCCATCATCATATGCGAATCTGCATCCTTTCATGTGCAGAAGCAGTCCTCTCTTTTAACTGTGTGTGTGGTCACCCTAGCCAGGAGCTACAAACCTGTGCAGAGTACCTCTGTTTGCAAACCACCCAACATCTCAGTCTGCTTACTACTAAGGCCAGCCCTGATTAGACCACTTTATGCTAACCTAGTGAAGGCAGCAATGGATGTTATTATTACAGTCACACCAGAATGAGGATTTTGTCTTGACCTACTTATGAGCAGAACTATAATTCCCAGCCAAGCCTGCTGCTTCCTGAGCAGGACCCACTCATCCCATTCAGAACATTCTGGATTTCCTTTCTCCTCCAACACAATATTTTTCACAGCAGCCTCTGTACTTCCTACTTTTTATGTTTGCTGAAAGCCAGGATGCCATGACTAACACAGTTCTTGTTGATAGCGTCTGGCCGGAAGCCTGCTGTAACGGAAGTTTTCTTTAACAGGCTGTTGGAGAGATTTTGTAGCCTTGTTTCAAACAGAGCAACTCATACGAATGTGAGAGGCCAGTTCTCTTACGGGGTTGGTCTACTACTCAGCATTGTCTAAGCAGTTGTCTCTTCCCTGCCAAGCATCTTTTTCCTCCCTATAGACCTGTTATCATAAAATAAGGATGTCTGCAAATGGCTTGACTGTGCACATACAACTGCAAACAGAGGTACTCTGCACAACTAGGACATTATGAGCATGTCCAAACTACTTGGAGCATTTCTGCCACTGCTGTTAAGCCTCAGGCCCCCCTGAGGCTCTTGTCCAGTCCTGAAGTTCTCCAGAAGGCCACACCCCCTTTGCTACATCAGCAGTGGCTTTGTGATTCCTTCCCCATTATAAAAGGTTGAAATGCCTCACCTGAAGTTTAATAACTGACAATAAGAGCTTAAAGCTAGGCTGGGGGTTGTTTGTGCATTGGTTTGGCATTTTGGCTCCCTCCCCTTTTGGCTTCGGCCAAACGCAGTCCCTGGAAGCCTCTTGGATGTCATATTCTGCCCAGTTCTTATATGTGCTGGTGTCTGCCAGCTGAACGCATGAAAGATGGGACAGGGCACACTTCCTTGGTGGTATTTAGAGAAGGTAGAACAGTAGCTGGCAATCCCTCTGTATGCTTGCATTGTGTGCTTGAGAAATGACCAACGAAAGCAATCATTTCCTCCTGCGGAGTGGCTGCTTAAGCATTAGCCTATGCAAGTGAGAATATAGCTAGCATGCTTACCGGTCTTGTAAAACATCCATGAAAATAAGCTAACAGGTGGTACAGAAGTGTAATTAATTCTAATAAATGAATAGAAAGATTCTATTCATTGCCACTAAGTAATTCTAATAAAAGAACAGGAAGAAGCCTATGTAAAAGTTCAAACTGTCAGCAATAAAGGTACACAAGGATCTGGAAGAGCCTTCACTCTGCCTGCAGTACTGTATGCCACTGTAAAAGCATGCTTTCATGCATTCGAAGTACTGTTTATTGTCTGCCAAAAGACACTGCCACTTCATCAGATATTTGCCCTTTTTGGTTTAGAATTCCTCATCCACACACACATACACACACCCCATCCCTCTCCTCTCCTCTTTTTAAAGAGGCTTGCTAAGTTAAGTGTTTTTCCATGTCCTGAAAAAATAAGATAAACTCTGAAGTGCTTTAAAAGAACAAAGAAACACAAAAGGTGTCTGTGCGTGAAAGAGAGAGAGGGTATACCCAGGAAGACTGTCAAATAAATGAAAGACATTTATTTATGTCTTTGCCCAATGCACTGAACATTTGCCTATTCTTCCGTCTACATCTAGGAATGACTTGCCAGGCTCGGAGCTCCTACATGGACACAGAAGTGCTTTGGGGACACCGCTTCACTCCCGTGCTTACCCTAGAGAAGGACTTTTATGAAGTTGACTACAACAGCTTCCACTGCACCTATGAAACCAACACACCTTCGTGCTGTGCCAAAGAACTGGCTGAATCTTTCCAGGAGGGGCAGCTCCTCAGTCACCCATCCAATGCCAACCTCATGGGTGGAGGAGAATCAGAGAAGGGAGAGGAGGAAGAGGGGAAAGAAGATCAGAAAGAGGGAAGGCTCAAGGAGAATGATGAGGACAAAGAAGAGCCACAGGAGCTAGCGGAATTGAACGGCACCAATGGGACAGCAGAAGAAGTGATGGATAGCCTGTCCTCATAACAAAAGACTTGCTGAACTATAGGAAATTCAGGTGCAGTCATCATGAAGAAGACAGGTGAGGACATTAGGAAGCCAAAGACTGGAACCCAGTGCTCTCACTTCCCAGCTGAACTCAAATGGGCCCTTCTCTCTCTTTGAGGTTCTGCTTTCCATTCTGAAAAATGGGGGCTGTTACTCACCATTTTGAGATCCATGGACACATGCAAAGTACTAGATAGGAATATTATGATAAAGCTGATAATATTGACATTTTTCTCCTTTTCTTTGAAATCCTCTCTTCAGACAGAAGGAGGATATACGTGTTTTTAAAACTCCCTGTTTGGTTTGGTGAAAGGAATGTAGCTTTTCCCTTCCTTAACTCAGTGCATTGTAGACATTAAATACTGAATAAAAAGAGAAAAAGTAAAGGGGTGGGGGGGCTTTCCTGTTTCTAACAAGGGTTTATTAAAACTTCCTGTGAGAGGTTTACGTGGTTTGGTGTCTTGGTACCTACCCACCATGCCTTCAATCTTAGAGAGGCTAAAACCCCCTTCAGAAGGAAAAATAGATCTCACCACCTGAGATTAAATATCCGTTTCAGATCCTCCCTGGGGTTTGTGGCAGACTTCCGCAACTCGGAATCTTGCAACTGTGGGAACAATGGAAGTTGTCAGCTGGGAAAGATCTTTGGGGACAACTGGAAACCATTGGGTTGTGGAAGACTTTTTAATGGCTTCTCTAAAGGACCATGCTGGCGAGGGATGATTGTTAATGCTGGTGCATGTGATGGGAATTGATGGGAACAGCTGGAGAGTGCCAGGTCAGGGAAAACTGCTTTATGGTTTTTATAAAGGGAGCCTTTTTAAAGGACCTGTCCTGACTTGGATAAGGAATCCAATTGCTCTAGTATAGATAGTGTTTGTCTTCTCTAATGGCCATTTTACATATTATGTGGCAGTATCGGATACTTATCACAAAGTGTACCTTTAAGAAAGAGCAACAGTTATCAAATCTAGGCTTGAATTTCGATATGAAAGTGATGGTGCAATTTTCACACACTTTCTAAATTGTATCGTTCCCTCTATTTTTGATAAGGCTTCAAATGCAATTGCTTATGTAGCCAAAAAGGCGCCACCCATGTGCAAGAGGACAACTATAATCAAACTTGGGGAATCCTAAAATTTGAAAAAAGTACATGAAAATCTTTAGGGGGAAAAATGGAACGGGAGCCTCCCGATGAAGACGACGTGGTCAGATTGTGGAAATGGCATGCTGTCTGTTGCTGGGTGGGGTAGGAGAGGGAACAAGGAATTCAGTGGAGATGTTGGATCCCTTGAAGAGGACCAGCATTTTCTTGAAGTTTTCACTTATTATGCTGCAAAAAGACTGTAAAAGACTTTATAGAATTTGTCACTTTCAAGAAGAGGCCTATAAGGGACATGGCTGTTGTTGCCATTGGACAGAGGAGGAATGAAATAGAAGTAAAAATGCCTGCTGTTGTTACGTGTTATGTGTCTGACTGATGGTGACCTCATGCCTAAGGCTACTTAATAACAATAAAGGCTGAGCTGGAATTTGATGGAAGGTGTCCACTGACTGTCCACCAAACAGTACTTTCTACAAAACTCTCCCATTTGAGATATGCGACATTTCCAAACACTGCACAACTCCTAAAGTTCACAGTTTTGCAGGACACAAAAGCACCTGGTCATCTGATACCATATAATCCCTGAAAAGGGGGACATCAATCGTCCAATCAAGACATGGTTCTTTTCACATGGTCTGGGTAGTCTCCCCTCAACTGGTTTCAAGGGTTGACGTAACTGGGCACTGGCGGAAGGATGCTGATGGCATCTCCCAGAACTTGCAGCTCTTCCTCACCCATGCAACCTGCTTGCTCAATTGCCTCTCCCTCTGACCCTGATAATGCTCCCATTATCATTATGTGAGCAGGAGAAGCTGCAGATGTCACAACTGGCTTAGTCACCAGCTCCATGCCTGTCCAGCCACAAGGGGCAGCCATGATGAGAAAGAGACTGAGGGCAGGAGCCACTGATAATAATGGCAGGGAGAAGGGATACCCACTGAGGAAGGTCTTGCCCAAAGGCCTTCCCAGCCCTGGAGCAGGCACCACATTCAGAAAACACTAGATTTCAGTGGCATTTTACTTCACTAAGAAATTCCACACACCAATCTGAGGAGCTCCACAGCAGTTTGCTGAAAGCAGATACCATAAATATTTTCTCTTCATATTTTCATTCAGAACACTGCTGCCAAGGTTGTTGCCTCTTGTCAGCAAGGAAAGGAAACAAATGTGGTTCTTTTGTTCACACATTTATTGCCTGTTCTTTCCCCTTTCTATTTCTCCCTTCTCATATTGTTGCTGGTCTTCTGCAGTCTAATGCCTGCTGTTTTTGGAGTTCAACAAAATATGTTACATCACAATAAAATGGATTTTTTAAGTGGGGAGAGAGGAGGAATCATGAAGTGAATGAATGAATTCCTGCACATCAAACTCTCTTGCAAAATCTGTTTGCAAGCAATTGACAAATTGCTTTTTCATTCCTATCCCTCTGTGAAAGTAAACTGTGACCCAGGGATTGGCTGGGGGAGAGAAAGAAGGAGAATAAGAGAGTGTAATTGTCCTCAGATTGAATGCTGCTGTGAATTACTGTAAGGTTACTCTGCTGGCTAGAGTCACATCTCTCTCATTTGCTCCTGCCCATCCGCAACATTCAATAGCTGAGCGTGCCTGGCTGTGTTAGGCTAACAGCACAGTCAACCAGAAGTCCCTCTGCAAGCTGTTCTTACGGACTAAGCCTTTGGGCGGGGTGATACCTGCCTTTTCATTTACTATCCCGAAAGCATAAGGTTGGATCCCACTTTAGTCACACCTAAGACCTATTGAAATCAAGCTAGTCACAACTAATGACCACGTGTTTCCTCTATGTATTACGAAATCTGGTCCCAAGCCAAGGCTAGTCTAGATGGTAAGACTCTTGTCAGGTCCTGCCCTTGTCTGCGCATCAGTGCTCCTCGGGACTGAAAGTCCCCCACTGGCAAACTTGAATAATTTCATTCACACCCTAGTAGAGATGTTTGGGGATGCCAATCAGGAGCAGACTATAGCAGTCTTTAAGACAAAGGTGCCATTCCATCATAGATTATGCAGCACAATTCCACTGTTTGGCTGTGGATACTCATTGGAATGAAGCTGCTCAACGTTGCCATTTCTGTCCTGGTTTACACCCCCCCCCCCACCCCATTAAAGATGAACTGGCCTGGGCAATTTCTCCAGCAGCTTTCGGGGAACTCATCACCCTGTCTATTAATATTGACACCTGGTTGTTGGAAAGAGATAGAGAACACCAAGACTTTTGAGTAGTAGAGGTCTGGAGGCGAGCAGACCTGTCTCCGCCCGGCTCAGCCTCACAGTCGGAGCCCATGCAGGTGGACAGCTCTTGTTGGCACTTATCTGAGATGAAAAAAATAATGCTGTTAGAAGAACACTCTTCTTCGCATTCCCTGTTTTAGGTACAGTGACCAGGACTGTGCACAATAGTCCAAGTGCAGGCGCATCATAGATTTGTATAAGCAGAGTGTGATCTTGGCAGTTTAATTTCCAATTGCTTTCATAATTATGCCTATTCACTATGAATGTCTCTAATCCCTTATTAAAGTCATCAAAGCTGGTGGCCATCACAACACCATGCATCAGTGAATAACATCAGTTAATTATGCATTGTGTGAAGAAGTTTTCACTTTTGGTCCAAGTCTACTGCCAATCAGTTTCATGGGGAGATTCTAATTATAGGAGAGGAAAAAAATAATTCTCCTGCTCTACTTTCTGCACACTTTGCACAATTTATAAACCTTTGATGTGTGCCTTTTAGTTACCATCTTTTCTTCAACTATTAAAAAAGCGTTAGCATTTCCTGATATGGAAGGTGTCTCAACTCATCAACCTTTTTGGCTGCCCGTTACTGTACCTTCCAAAAAAAAAAAATGCTGCTTATCAGCAAACAGTTTAGGATTTGAGACCAGTTACTTCATGATTCACAATCAGGGTCTGTTGCTGTTTTGGGGAAGGGGAAAAAAGCTACAACACTCTGTGCTAAATCAACTATAGCACTAGGAAAAGCAGGACTCTATGACATTTATGACTCATACAAATCAGTATTTATTATTTGCCTTTGTTCTGCATAAATTATGCTGCTGCTGCTGCTCATGATGATGATGATTCTGGGAAGGGGAGAACGGTGTGTAGGACATACCTTTCATTAGATACTGTGATGCTGTAATCCATGAAAATCTTATTCATTCACTCCTCTGATTACTGAAAGGTTACCTAACCCTTCCAAGACAGTTTCTCTCCATATTTTTGTAACACGCCCAGAGGTAGGAGTGTGACAAGGGGAAAGTCACTCCTTTCTGCAAGCAATTTATTATTATTTTTAACAGCTGCTGCGTGTGTAGATTGCCTGCTGGGCATGGCAAGATCTAGGCCTGCTCTGTAATGACGTGAACTAGAAAGGTTCTAAGAAAGAATGCTGAAACCCAGAAAGCTGCATAATGTACTCAGTGGAAAGATTTGTGCACTTTTCCCATCACTTGTGCAGAACCACAGAATACTCCATGATGTTTCAAACCTATTGTGGCCACCATAAAATACAGTTTCTTGACAACTGGAACCACCACTGCAGAGACTTTCAATAGACATGATATTCCTAGGGCAGGAGTGGGAAACTTGTCACCCTCCAGTTGTTCTGGACTATGAATCCCATGTTCCTTCACCACTAGCTATGCTAGTTTGGGCTAAGAAGAAGTTGTAGGCCAAAACATCTCACGAACCACAAGTTCCCCATCCCTGTCTTAGAGTCTTTAAGGTTATACTCTAGGGAGATTGAACTCAGAATGTCAGAATGTATAAGTTCACATTGTCAAGGATTCAGGAGAATTTCATCTACTGTAGCCAAGTACATCAGTATTAATAAAATGAATTGCATATTCAGTTATCCATTTAAAACTGTGAAAAGAATCCATGCAATCTAATACAATACAAGGAAAAAGGGGTGTTTCATCTCTGAAACACAGCCAAGAGACAAAAAGGTCACTGTCTAATTTGATTTCTTGGTTTTATCTCACGTTTCTGTCAAGAAACATACAAAATAACTTACAAAGTTTTTTTAAAATAAATAAAAGCAATTTAGCAATTAAAATGTAAGATAACATATCCTCTTACAAGCAAAATGCAGCAGATGAAAACATGCAAAGCACCATGCTAAAATGCAAGCATAGCATAGCATAGCCCAAAAATACACACAGTAAATATATGCTGAAA